GCTATGCAGTGCTCATATAGTGCAATCTTGCAAAAACCAAAAATTGGCTCTCAACGGTCATAGGCGTTTTGGCATCGTGGTATAGCTATGCCCCTATGTCAGGGTATTAAGTTGAGTACTGGGATGCTCATTGCACTCAGACTGGCACCGGGATGCCTATGCGAGCGATAATTATGTGGGCCGGCATCAAGATGGCCTTTGCGTGGATGCGTACACGTTACACTCTGGGCTTGACGCGAGGCTAAGTGATGCATTCTTAACTGTTTACGGCAATTCACATTTAATTGCGCGGAACTAAAACAAGCAGTATGGGGCCAAGTTGCCCACAGCCATAAGCGAGCACCGGGATGCTTTAACACCCAGACGGGCACCGGGTTGCGCGTAACAATACTAAGGAGAGCGCCGGGATGCATATGTGAGTGGGTTGCGTTGTAAGGGGCACCGGGATGCCTATAATTGTTAGTCAAGCGGGCACCAGGATGCCCATATGAATTAAGCGGTAAGCGAGCACCGGGATGCTTATCACACCTGGACGGACACCGGGTTACACGTATTAATAAGTCCGGCACCGGGATGCCCAAGAGGATGGGCAGGTAGCGAAAGGGATACCTAAAATGCCCATATTTAGTATAGCTGGCACCAAGATGCTCTAAATACGCAAACTGGCGACGGACGCTGATGATTGTGAGGCGTGCACCGGGATGCTCAAATGCGTCCAAACCGGCGCATTAATACCGGGATGCTTCGGTAAATAAATACGTATTGCAAGCAGCCAGTTAGTTTGCCTTCAAAGTCATTGTAGCTGGGCACAGCGATGCGATGGTCTGTCATGTTTTGCTCTTCGTACTGGCTTAACTGCTTGCTTATTTTATTATCCACTGCGTTTGGTGCTGCTGCCGTGTCCCCACATTGCAGATGGGTGGGTTTGATATCATTCACCTCCAGCCACCACCAGGAGGGAGATACTCGACGCTCAAGCCAGCAGGCTCCTGGCCCAATCGGTGGCGCCCCGGACACGCCAGACCTACAGCCCTGGAGTCAGGTCCTACATTCAGTTTGCGCAGCAGCTCCGCTTCAGCCATCTGGCACCGACGGTCAATGATATAGTTCTCTTCATGACGTCACTGTCCGCGTCACTGTCTGGGAAGACAATCAGGGTATACCTAGCAGCCGTCCGCCACCACTTTGTATTGAATGATGGTCCGGTGGATCTGCTCAGAGCACCCAGGATACTGGCCTTGCTGAAGGGCATCGACCGTGACAAGCTGACGTCCAGGCCAATGCCTGTGCCTCCGTCATCCAGACGTGCGGTGACACCCAACGACCTCAAGGCTATCCGCGAATTTCTGGAGTTCTCGCAATATGCACCGCAAGATAAGGCCATTAGTACGGGGGCCAGGGTTGAGAAATGTGAAGTTTCGTTTCCACTGAGAGCGCACAACAAAATATGTACTTCATCTTGTAGCCCTAGTCGTGTAGAGTCCCCTGATATATTTTTCACCCCTGGAATCGGGATGGAACGGTGTGGAATTGGCATTTGAAAGTTTCCCATGGGTTGCCATGGCAACTGCATAGCAACAGTATGGCAACAGCGTGTTTTTCATGTTATTTTCTTCCACAGAAGCTCCAAATTTGTTGAGGGGTACATACTATGTATGTATTCGTGTCGACTGGCACTGCTATTAGTAAAACATACATGTACATGGAGTATCATGCACATCGTGCACTCTATTGTATCAATGCGAATAGTCATAATTATAGAGTCATGTACATGTACATGTACTACAGCATTGTGTACATTATATGTATCAAATCAGAATACAGTGTACTGGCATGAAGGAAGCAGCTGACTATTTCACCACACGCAGAGATAAAGCATACTTTATTCCACAGGGTACTTGTACATGTACAATCATGCCTTCCAGCACAGGAAGTCAGTCATAAGTATGTTCAAAGCATGTACAGTAGGTATCGGTTATAGCGTGGGTTTTTGAAAAACGACTTTCTATTCTTATTTCCGATATTTCTTACACATGATAAATCAAGTGTGGCATATCATATGCATGTCCGCAGGGGCAGGAAGATCATCGTACATGCAACACAGTACTTCTGTGCATGTGGCTGGTCATAGTCCCATAAGCTTACATGTGGCTATGCAAAAATTGAGTTACATGGCCACAACAGTTGAATCTGCAGCACTACGACGCAACGAGAGTCACATCAGAACGGAATTGGACAGATGTTATTACTACAGGCGATACACTTTGTACTAATTGGCATGTTTCGCTACACAAAGTCCATTCTTAGGACCGATATATTCTACTATGGGATAAAATTGCTTGTAAGAATAAATGTGCACTTGAAATCCATGTTATGATTATGAAAACATGAGGGTTCATTCTTGTATGCAGTATATTCTTTTACACGACCACGCTATAACCGATACGCACTGTACATGCACATTGGTTACGATTCCAGCAGGCATGCGCATTAAAGTAGACAGAAGGCCAGTTTCGATGGCCCACAAGAACATGACATAATATATTTCATCGATAATAATGTGTACAAGAGCATGGACATTACAGATGCTGTCATCAAGTTTGACTTCAAGTCGACTCCGGAGAACCACAGAGCGGAATTCTTGGGGTCTCTGCAACACGATGTCGACAGCCTTGGCATAAATTGCTTGATCCAGAACTACCATCGTGAATGGAAGATCAGCCTGCCTTGCCATAGTAATGGAGCGGCATAGTAGGGTATAGACAGTGAGGTTCTATATTGGCGATGCATTGATCACCGGACAGTAACCAATCTCCGACTTAGAAGGCACATTGTTCTTCGTCGCGAGATAATTGAATGCTGTCCACGCGGGTATGCTCTGAGACTTGCCATCAGCTGCAGCTCCAATCTCAATGACTGCACGAGGCTTGCTGATCTGTCCATCTGGGCAGAACCGGGAGAGCTTCCAGACAAAGTCCATCAATGCAGCACCAGAGCGGGTGTCAGCAGCATAGGCGTATGATGGGAGGTGGATTTTGTCTTGCAGGCATTGCAAACACAGGCTGAATCTCCGGGACCATTGTCAATGAGCGCTTTCGCTTCGACGTTGACAGTGTAGGCAGAGAGATGGAAGTCGCTTCACTTGCTACCGATTCATCCTGCAGAGAAGGCTGTACAACGATACCATTTGTACAGTGCGTAGTCGCAAGTCCGCTCAGTGTCTCCTCGCAAGGGTCATTGTTATCTCACACGAAATGGTACGGCTTGCGAGTGTCGATGGCGGCAGGCAAGAAAGACTGATTGTGCTGATGGCGTGTAAAAGACTCTGCCAAGCAAGTCTCCAGCTCCAGTACCTGGCTGTAGCTACAGCAATAGCCAAGACGATTCAACATGGTAACTATCTGCTTACTGCGGCACAGGTGATGGATTGCCATGCCCAGCACAATGTGTTTCGGAGTGCGGTAACCAGTGCCGCAAAACCGATAAGATCCTGGCAGATGGCATGGATACGGCGTTGCAGAACACTCTCAAGAGACGGCAAGCGGCACGTCGGGAATTCGGCATCCTTGTCCAGGGTCCATGCAAGAAAATTAAAGAGCTTGTCAGGAATCAATCGCGCGCTATCCTCAGGAGACAGCCGTGCACCGCTCAGTTCTTGCTTCGTGGACTTGACATGGTGCTCGATGGATTGGCGGAGGATGTTTGCTGCATGATATAAGACTCTCCATTCCTCACACTCATTGGTCCAGACATGGCTACTCTCCACTTTGGCAGACTCATCCTCAGACTCCTCCCCAGACTCACTGCAATAAGGATCGGCGGGCATTAGGGGTTCATCTTCTGCAACTTCCTCCTTCAGCAGTGCAAACTGTCTGATAAAGTTGTCAGTCGAGCTAACAGCACACAACAATTCAGGGGCGTTGCAGCGAGCTGGCCATCAAACTCTTTCAAAATGATGCTCTTCAGTTTTCGATTTCTGACCTGAGTGCAGAAGTTGCCACTTTCCTTGTTACAGCAGGTCTGGAAGATGGACTGGAGATCAGCAGAGGTCAGCAGTGCAGAATTGTCAAACAATTCTTGACGCACGACCTCAAGAAACTGGGCAACTACTTGTTCCTCCGAAGGAGCCTGTCCACCAATTCCCTGAGGGTCGTCCCCAGGATCCTCGACCTCCAATAGTCTGGTGTACTCTCGGAAGCAGTGCCAATGGTAGTGAACTTCACGTGCTATGAGGCAAGACTGAGAACCAATAGCTATTACAATAGCCTCGTCTCTCCGCAACTTAGCTGCGTCTAGCACTTTCTGGGCAGCGTTGTGTGACTGGCACTGCGAAGTTTTCTGATACTTGTGCTTCTTTCCCAGCTGAAATTTCTGACAGAATATGCACTCCTTTCGCCCTGGCTCTACAACTGGTACAGATAGACTTTGCCGAGTTGTCCGCTGGGGACAATCTGCCTGTGACATCGACTTTCCAGAACCTCACCACCCGAAAACAAACTACTTACTATTATGCGTGAGAGTACAAAAAGGCAAAAACGGAGAAGAAGCGCAGTAGTAGTACGTGAATCGACACATCCGAGTTCACTTTTGAAACTTGACACTCCACGTGGACCGCTGAGCACGTGAGGTGTGAGACTAGACTCTGTATGCGTGTTTCGCGCAGCGCAGACTATGCTCAGTTCGCCGTACAATGGACGGGACAGTCCCGTGAGGAAAACTTACCGTTGCGTGACTGCTCGCGCGGAGAAGAAACTCAGCGCAAGAGACAAGCGGCAATGGCTGAACAGGTGCGAGAAAAGTTACTCGATGGAGGCCTTCCATTCGCATTTTGAAGCAATTTTTTGTTGATTCCGTGTCAGGAAGGCCACTGCTTTCATTATCTGCAGTCAAATTGTTGTGCGGACGAAGTGGAAACGAAAGTTTTTTTCAGCCACTTTTTTGATGCCTGGCCCCCGTACTACATGCTCTGGGCAGCAGTACTCACAGCTTTCCACGGGCTCATGCGTGCGAGCGAGTACACGGCGCCATCACCAACAACGGTGGATGCTCACAGGACTCTTCAGAGGAGCCATGTCGCCCTCTCAGAGGAGAAGGTCACGATCACCCTAGGGGTAACAAAGACGGCACAGTCGGGCGCTGGTGGCACAGTGTTACTGCATGCAAGCAGGTATCCCGCAACCTGCCCTGTGCGTTCAGTCGCTGCCTACATAAGTGCCAGGGAGTGGGCGGATACAGGTGCCCCATTCTTCGCCTTCCGCGAGGGGCGCTACCTAACCCCGGGCGACGTGAACGCCATTCTCAAGAGGGCTTTCGGCCCAGGCGTTTCAAGCCATTCTCTGCGGATCGGTGGTGCTACGGCCATGGCCGAACGACAGGCCCCGGAGTGGCAAATTCAAGCGGCAGGGCGCTGGTCAAGCTCTGCGTACAAGGCGTACGTCCGTGTCCCGTCGGGCATGCCAGCTTATCAGCAGACAGAGCTAGCGTAGAGAGCAGTTCGAAGCTTCACGGGGTTCATGTGCCTAAGTTGCATTCAAGTCACGGCCCTGCGTCCGCGGCCACCCACTCCCTTTCTTGGAGGCATGTGGGGTTGGCGGTCAATCGCCTGCCCGCAGCTTTGGGCAAACACATGACACCGGGTTGTCATCGCAAAATGCCCCCAGAGGTGGCCGGGCACCGGGTTGCCCAGGGTGACCGCGGCCCACGACTTCAAAATGTTTCTCACCTTATCACTATTCCCTTGTTCCCTGATCATTGCCTTGGAACAGTATCACTTTGCTCTCAGATGTTTCAAAATTTGATTCGAATGATTAATAAATTTCGGGCACATGAAACCCCTCCAAAAAATACCAACCGTGATCCGTTGGTGTGTGGAGTGAATGTTGAATTAAAGGGGAAGTCCGGTGAAAAATTTAAATTTCAGGGTCGGTAGAGTTTCGGGCGCTGAGTCGAATGGTGTTGGTCCCACGTGTCTCCGACAAAGCGTTCTCGAGATATTTCCGTTTGAAAAACTGAGTTTCGGGGGCTGCGCCATGACGTCATGCGGCCGCGCCACACCCTCCGCAACGTCATAGCGTGCAGCTAGGTCAAAAGGAGTGCGTGAAAGCAATAGTGTCAGTGCTATTTCAAATGATTTGGCGACTGATATTAGGTGGTGCAAGCGACCCCAAGACCTAACTCCTTGTGAGAGTGAGGATGCAGCCATGGCTGACCTTCATGGGTTTGGTCGGGGGGTATTGTAGGGCTGAGAACCTCGGTATCCAGCTGAAGAAATGGCCGCGCGGGACGGTCAAGAGTGAGCGCTACTGAGTTTCCGACTGATGAAGAAGCAGTAGCTATTGCAGACGAGGCTGATATAATTATCAGATCGCTGAAGAGCAGGGTCGCCAAAATGGAGAAGAGTGATGCGAGTGCTCTAAATGTTGTTCCATACCGATTCGCTTAGACTCCAGTAGCCTGCCACATGGTGATGTTTTGGTGCGAACTGTTACTTGGCATATTTCGGACTACTCAATTGGAGAACAGTGCAGGCTCTTTGAACCATGGCCCGGGCACGACTCTTCGCTCGCAACGCTATGGAATCTGAAAGTTCTAGGTCCGGGAGCTGTTCACTGTTTTGTCACTTGTCACGGTTGTGCACTCATCGCTGTAGCATAACATAATGAGGCCGGACTGGAGCGGAAAACTAAAATTTTCTTTCTCAAAGCACAACCACCGGCACCGGCAAGGAGAAACGCACGTTCTCTGACTACATGACTGTACGAGTGTAGTACTAGTACATGACACGTCCGTGTGTTGACTAGTTTTCTGAGTCTTGTTGTAGCGAGCTAGCCCAGCACGGCAGTGCGGGACTAGTTCCGTGTGTGATGAGTCTAGTTTGTTGACTGCACTACACGTCTACAGCTAGCTAGCATGCACGCAGCGCATTGCTAGAGCCGTAGAGCTAGAGGCATGCTGACGGAAAAAGTCCAACTCGGAAACGGCTAAAATACGGTATAACCTCGAGATTTACCGAGCTGAAAATCATAGGGTACGTAGCGTTTGTAACACTGAATCGAATGGTCTTGGTCCGAAGAAGCTGCGACAAACGGTTCCCCAATCGAACGCGCTCCGAATATGGCCGTTTTGTACACAACTAGATGGTGTGGCTACCTGGCTGCACGCTGTGACGTCATCACCTGGATCTGGGTGAGGCGCGCTCAAATTCGCACATGTTCGATTGGGCGTATCTGACGAACCATAGGCCGCAGCCTCCTCGGACAAAGACCATTCGACTCAACGCCCCGAACACTACGGACTGTGAAATTTAAATTTTTCACCGGACTTCCCCTTTAAAGGGGAAGTTAAGGCAAAAATTAAAATTTCACCAGTTGTAGTCTTCGGGGTGCTGAGTCGAATGGTCTTGGTCCGAGAAAGCTGAGACGCTCCCTTCCTACTTGAATCCCAATCGAACTGGCGCACTTCCACCGAAACTGGGTGACTGCGCCCTACTAGATGGGGATTTGTATGCAAAATGTCACTAAAAGCGCCATTTCGTTCTTATAAAAGCACGGATGACCGCGATTGGCCCATATGTTGTAGTCTTTTGGACGCTGAGTCGACTGGTTTTGGTCCGAAAAGGCTGCAATGCAGCGTTCCTCCTTTATTCCCAATCGAACATGGTTGAACAAGTGGTCACGTGTGTAGCGTCTCTGACGTTCTCGCATCATGACGTCATCATTTGTTTGCATGTACACGTCATATTTTCCTCATCATCACAAACACTGATTCACCATACTCTCGCACACATTGTAATACCTACTACACGTACTTCGCTACCATAATAATTACGTAATGTTTGGCTAGCATAGTTCCAATACACATTACGACATCTTTTGATGTTACGCACTCCTCGCCTACAACGCTATTGTAGAAAAGTAGTCTTTACTCATCTCTTGTAAGTTCTGTTTGCATCCAAACACTTCTTCCAAACAGCACACGTCAGATATCTAACAAAACAACAAACTTCATTGCACAGTCTTCTATCACAATCTCTTTCCTATATAAACCTCCTTTCTCTTCACTTTCTTCATGACATTTAGTGTTCGCCAGTCTTGTAAAGATCTTGGAAACTAACACTCGTTGCACTGTATCTAGACTACTAAATTGGTGACCTCCGACGTGAGTAAAGTGCAATATGTCCAGCAACGCTGGTTCTTCCGCTTCCGCTCGCTTTCGGGCAGTAAGTCTCTAGACCCGACTATCCTGCGCGAGCTGTTTGTACAGCGTTTGCCCGTGACTGGTGCCTCAGCCTGGCCGACCTCGCCGCGCTTGCTGACAAGAATAGATGGTTGAAAGCACGTGCTCAACCCCACTCACCGGTACAAGTGTTCACGCTCTGAGTGAAGCCCCTAGCCCTGCTCGGTCTAGTACGTATACGGCCTTATCATGTAGATCTACAGCGTCCACAGATGCGGAACAGGCCTGCACCGCTGACAGGGCTGAGATGGCCCAGCTCCGAGCTGAACTCGCCAAGCTGACGTCCGCTGTGAATGTGATGACCCGTGACACCGGTGCCCCTTCCCAGCGTGGCCGCCAACGAGAGCGTAGTCCCGGGCCACCGTCACGCCACCCAAGTGCCTCCAGGTCTCCCGGCCGTGACAATCACGACGACCTTTGCTGGTATCACCGTGCGTTCGGTGCGAAGGCGAACAAATGCCGAGACCCCTGCCGATTCCTGTCGGGAAACGGGAAGGCCAGCCACTAGTCGCGACCGCTCGTGTGGTTGGCCCCTCGAATACCGCTACCGGTCGCCTACTATTCGTCAAGGATCGCTCCCAGTCCGTCGAGTTCCTTGTCGACACCGGCGCCGCCGTCAGTGTTCTTCCTCCGTCATTCGTAACTCTGTCTCGTCGTGTTCATCGCAATAGCCCTCGCCTCCGTGCAGCGAATCAGAGCAGCATCGCCACGTACGGTCAGCAGCTGCTAGATTTAGACTTAGGTCTCCGACGCACTTTCAAATGGGTCTTCGTCGTTGCTGACGTCAGCTATCCGATCCTGGGTGCGGATTTCCTTGGCCACTTCCAACTCACTGTCGACCTGGCCGCCAGATGTCTCCGGGACTCCACTACTCAACTTGCCGTTGTCGGATCCGCCTCGGATGTCAGCACCTCCGCTACCAACCTGCTGGACACTGATAGCCCTAGTGAGTATTCTGCCCTGCTGAGTGAGTTTCCTGACCTTGTCCGACCGACCACTGGTGACTCGCCTGTCAAGCACAATGTGACACACCGCATAGTCACAGATGGCCACCCCGTCCACGCTAAGCCTCGCCGTCTGGCACCCGACCGCCTTGCTGTCGCTAAGTGTGAGTTCCAACACATGTTAGATTTAGGCATTATTCGTCCCTCCTCTAGTGCATGGTCATCCCCTCTGCACATGGTGCCAAAGAAATCCGGTGACTGGCGACCCTGTGGTGATTACCGAGCCTTGAATGACTGCACGATCCCCGACCGCTATCCCATCCCGCATATTCAAGACTTTACGTCCCACCTGCATGACAAGATCATATTCTCTAAGATTGACCTCGTCCGTGCATACCACCACATTCCTGTGCACCCTGACGACATCCCGAAAACTGCCATCACCACCCCCTTTGGACTGTTTGAGTTTGTCCGCATGCCCTTTGGCCTTCGCAACGCAGCCCAGACATTCCAACGCTTCATTGACCAGGTAGTTTCAGACCTTCCCTTCTGCTTTGCATATCTGGATGACTTGCTCATTGCTAGCGCCTCACCCGCTGAACATATGGCCCACCTTCGCTGCATATTCTCCCGCCTTGCTTCACATGGCATCTTGATCAACGTCCGGAAGTCGCAGTTCGGCCAGGATGAGCTTGACTTCCTGGGACATCACGTGACTGCCTCAGGTATCCGACCTCTCGACGCTCGCATGACCGCCATTCGTGAATTCCCACAGCCAGCTAGTGTTCGTAAGCTCCGTGAGTTCATCGGCTTCGTCACGTTCTATCACCGATTTCAGCCACATCTTGCTGCTAAGCTCGCACCTCTGCACGCTATGCTTGAGAAACGCCACCGCACCAAAGGCGCGCTCGTCTGGTCCGACTCGGCCCTCGCTGCTTTCAATGATGTCAAAGCTGCGTTCACTGATGCCATCACACTTCACCATCCTCGCCCGGATGCCGCCTACAGCTTGATGGTCGACGCTTCAGACATTGCTGTTGGTGCCGTCCTCCAACAAGAGCTAGATGGTGAGTGTTATCCTGTTGCCTTCTTTTCACGCAAGTTAAAGCCTGCTGAGACACGCTACAGCACCTTCTGTCGAGAGCTCCTCGCTATTTACCTAGCCATTAAGCATTTCCGACACTTCCTGGAAGGGCGTGTCTTCCATGTGTGCACCGATCACAAGCCTCTGACACATGCCATCCACAGCCGTTCACAGACCCACAGCCCGCGTCAACAGCGCCATTTGTCGTACATTGCTGAGTTCA